TGTGTGTTCATTTTTATGTTTCAGTTTCATATTCCTTAACGTTTTCATACGTTAGAGATCAGGAATAGCTCTCAAAAGGGTCTAAGTGTACCGGATGCAAGTCTTGTGCCGGTTTCTTCAACATTTGATGTTATTGATCTGATGAAAGTTGGGCATAAGAATCGTGCTGTTGGATCAACAGCTTTGAATGATCGAAGCAGCCGCTCTCATAGGTAAACAGGAAATGTTTTCAAGAGCAGAGAGGGAGAACCCATTAATCTTCAAATATCTTACGCAAAATAAATTTAATATTGTCAAATTTAATTTTCTTGCAGCTGCTTGACTGTTCATGTTCAAGGAAGAGACTTAACTTCAGGAGCTGTTCTTCGCGGATGTATGCACCTTGTGGATCTAGCAGGCAGTGAAAGGGTAGACAAATCCGAGGTTACTGGAGACAGACTAAAAGAAGCACAACATATCAATAGATCCCTCTCTGCTTTAGGAGATGTGATTGCTTCACTAGCTCACAAGAATCCACATGTTCCTTACAGAAACAGCAAACTCACTCAACTCCTTCAGGACTCTCTTGGTAAAGGATGCAACTAATCTATTCCCGAATGTTTGCAGCTTAGAACTCTCTTTTTCTTAACTTGGGATTGCAAATATGTTATATCAGGAGGACAAGCAAAGACATTGATGTTTGTCCACATTAGTCCTGAGGCAGATGCAGTTGGGGAAACAATAAGCACTTTGAAGTTTGCAGAGAGAGTAGCTACAGTTGAGCTTGGTGCCGCTCGAGTGAACAACGATACTTCAGATGTTAAGGAACTCAAAGAACAGGTTTTTTCCTTTAACTGAATCTCATGGTTTTACTTCCTCAGCTGATAGTATTTGATTGACTCACACACTTGCTTTTTGCTTTGTTAATAATAGGTTGCTACTCTTAAAGCCGCACTCGCAAGAAAAGAAGCAGAGTCACAACAGAACAAGATCTTAACAACTCCTACTGGCTCTGAGAAACACAAAACCAAAACTGGTGAAGTAGAGGTGATTACTTCTCTTCTCAATCTCTGTCTTCTGATTTTAAAATCATCTTGTCTCAAAATGGACATTGTTTTTTGATTGAGTGATTGCAGATTCATAACAATAACATCATGACAAAGAAATCCGAGAGCTGTGAAGTAGAGGAGATTACAGTGAACTCACCACCTTGGCCACCAGTAGCAAGTCCAGGCCAAACCTACAGAGACGAAGACCGAAGTTTCGGGTCAAGCGAGTGGGTTGATAAGGTAATGGTGAATAACAGACAAGACGAGATGAGAAGAGTAGAGAGTCTTTGGGGAGGAGGAGGAACAACAACAGACAATGGGATTAGTATTCTTCCTGAAGATTTTTACAGGAGAGATCTTTCTTCAGACACTTCAAGAATATTCTCTGAACATTCTTACAACATCTTCATGGGAAACAACAACATCACAGATGATCTAGATGCAGTCACAAGTGACTCATCTGAGCCAGATTTGCTCTGGCAATTTAACCAATCCTCCAAGATAACAACAACAACAAGCACTATCGAGTCAAAACCAAAGAAACCAGTCTCAAAACCGATAAAAAGTCCTCAATTCAGGTTCTTCACAACAACTCTCTCTTACTAAATCAACCAAATATGAAACAGTATACAGAATCTTAAGCAGTTTCTTTTTTTTTTGTTTTTAAAGGAACTCGAACACGGTTTCACGTCCTTTAGCTTCGCAGAAGCTCACGAATGGTACTCGTGGCACGAAACAGTTAGGTCCTGCTGATATGAAGAGAAAAGCTAGCGTAAGACATTGAAAGGCACACTCACTCACATTCATACATAAATACACTCACTCACTTGGTTTATTATTCGTTTTTTTTTTTAAATTTGATTCTTCCACTGGTTTCTTGTTTCTTTGGTTGTGCAAGTTTCTATATATATATATGACAGAGACATAGCTACTACACAATGCAGCAATAGTTTATATTCTTGTTGCTCTTTGTTGTATTTCTTTCTTTGGGTTTTGTTTTTCTTTTATGAACTTATGTATATTTTTCCACTAGCTTTGAACATAAACAAAATTTGAGAGATTTGTATGTAATTGCTTGAGAGCTTTTTTTTAATAGTGTTTCTATAAAATGTTTGGAGTTTTTTCTTCTTGTTGTGATTTGCAGAGAACACAAATAAATATTAATGCATTTCTAAATTAGTTACGAACTTTTGCTATCTACTAATCATCTTCTTTAGTGGAAACAAAAATTAACTTAAAAAATATTTTTTGGAAACTGATATATATAAATATTTTCAGATTGAAATATAAACTTTTCTGTTGTAAAATGATGAAAAGCTCTTTTATCATTTGTTAGAAAAAGCATTAATATTGCTTAGAAAATCATTATCGCCCCCATACTTTTCAAATTTCGACATTCGTTGAATCGTTTCTCTAAATATTATAATTTTTTTTTGCCCTATCTCTCTCTGCTCTTCTGCGACTTGATCCGTCGTCATCTCTCCATTTTCGTCTTCCAAGGTTCTTATGCTATTTTCGTTTACAGATTTGTGAAATCGTTGTGTTTTGAGAGATTCGTGATTTGATGATTCTTCTTTGTTCGGTGCAGTATTACTGTTAGGTAGAAGAATCCATGTCGATTTACGTCGCGTCGCGGCGGCTCTCCGGCGTATCAACTCCGGCGGCGTTGCGTTATGCCACTGCGCTGAGATCTTATTCGACGTCGTTTAGGGAGGAGAGGGACACCTTCGGTCCGATCCAAGTTCCTTCCGATAAGTTCGGGATCTCATCTTTAACCTGAACATTGAATATCCTTTAAGGAAAACATTTCACAG